AAAAATAATAATAATAATAAAACAGCAAGAAATTCTAAATGGAGTTTAAGGGCCGATTTGAAGCCAGTTTTAATCAGCTTTGTCAACTAACTAGTTAGTATAATGTATGACAAAACAAATGCGGTTAAACTGAAGTATCTTTTAATAAACCACGTCTCAAATGGATTATTTTTATTGCGCTAGCTGCTGGTGCAGTGGCTGCTCCTGCTCCTCCTGCAACTTCTCCTGCAGCTCCCCCTGCTGCTGCTGCTGCTGCTTTAGCAGCTGCTTTGCGCAACAATTTGCTGCACAAGAAGCAGGCAGCAAGCTGGACTTAAATTTAATAAAGGCGCTGCAGCAGCAACAAAAGCAATTGAGGGTCCACTTCTATCATCAAATGATTTTCTTTCAGCTAAGCTGGGCACAATTTTCACGGCGCTGCAGTCACGTCAGCTGCATGTCCTGCACATGTCCATACACACACACACACACACACACACACATGTATTCATATATGTGTGTTTGTGTGTGCTCAGCGGTAATCTATCATAATTTTTATATCCTAAAATCCCATTTTCGTATTAGAGCAAAAATGTCTGCGAGCAAATATAATAAAATGGCCAACACATCGACGTGAAGGCAGCTACTGCACGCGGCTCAAGTGCAGGCCAAGCACACTCACACACACACAGTCGCCAAAGCATAACACACACTCACACACACGTGGGTGGACATGGCATGCCAACAGTATGAAATTCCAGTCAAGCGCTTCTATTTTTGTTAGCTTTCCTTTCTCCTATTTTTTGCACCCTTTTCAAAACTTGTTGTGCCTGTGTGAGTGTGTGCGTGTGTGTGTTTGGCTTAGCTGCACTTGTCGCGTTTTATTTTTCAATGCCTTGGCTTTGGCTAGCAGCAAATAAAAAAAATGAAAACGTTCAAATAGCCAGCAATTTTATGAGTCTCTCGCATACAAACACACACACACACTCACACGTATACACACAGACAGCATAAAGCAGTTTTTATTATATGCTTGTGTAGTTGTCTAATGCATTGTCCTTGCTTAACACACACAGACACACACACACACACTTATGTATAGATAGACATTCGGACAGCAGTGCAATTATGTTGGCGAGTTCTTAATAATCGAAGTGCTTCACATTTTTGGTGCCTATCGTAAATTAAATTCTAAGAAATGTTTGTAAACTGAAACTGAAGCGAATGGATTCATATACGTTATTACAAAATTCGGTCCAATTGTTAATGAAATATATGAAAAATATAAACAAATAATAGATAATAGATAATAATAGATAAGAATACCATAATTTTTCCCTTCATATACATATATTTCTTATTGGACTACCAATTGGGATTTACAATATATATGTATTTATTATTCCATGTTAATTAAAGTTGAAATAAATTATCTCCGCATTCATAAATAAGTTTAATAGTTTTAAGACTTCGACATTTACTTAAATAACTTTCAAAGCTTTCAGAAACTTTAAAGCTTGGAGCTTGAAGCTTTTATATTTGCACTGTTTGCACTAAATGGTAAAAATGTGCTTCAAGCTGTTTAGTTTGTGAAAGACTTCACAATCTAATAATTATTTATTTAACCTTTTATATCTAAGCTATTCATCTCGTATATATAAATAGTTGAATTCAGGCTTTTTAAATGCGGGCATTATATTTCAGACTACTTCAATGAAAGCTTTAAGTGCTTCTTTTGTATCCTCGCATGATGTTCGGCCTGCGCGAGCTTTCCAGACGCCAATTTCAATATTAATTGCTCTATAGCCGCTCAAGTTAGCCAGACGATGTGCTCTGGCATGTAATTAATTTTTTAATAATAATTATAATAAAAATAATATAAAATGCAGTCAATAAAAATGCCGCACGTTGTCGCTACAGCAGCCGCATACAAACGATTTTGCATTTACCTTCAACTCCGATTGGCAAATTAATAAAAAAGAAAAGTGCAAGCGGGGTGTCAACGACTGCGTAATACTTGTTCAGCTAGTGAAACGGCATCAAATATGGTTACATGTTGACTATATTTATTAGCCAGTAGATAAAGAGTGACAGATGAATAAAGGATAGAATTCAATATTGCTATAAAATGTATATTTATTTATTATAGACCATAAGTGGTTAAGACCAATATACTCTTGTTCATTTTGTATATTTGGGTATAAACACATTGTGCACCGTTTCAACCGCAGAAAAGCTGAACAAATTATAGTAGAAAATTTAACTTTAAGCAGATGTTGCTTAAATCTACATACAAAGAAGCAAAATCAGCCATATAAACATATATGTATAAAATTTCATTATCATAAATTATAAGTGGTTTCAAATTGCTCTCCAATAAATCACCAAATTAACTTCCAGGTACTCATAAACATCAATTATAATGCTAATAATAAATGAATTTAACTTTAGTTTTAAGCTTCCTTCTTCTCTATGGAGCAGCTTCCGCATCGTCTCTTCAGGTATTCCGTAATTGCTTATATACATAATTTTGTTAGATAGCCACGTTACAATTGCTAATCGGCATCGGGCAACAACAATTGCAGCTAGCGAAACAATGGCAACAACAATAAATTTAATTAAAAGTTTTATAACAAGCTTTGCTTGATTTCACTTTTGTCAGCTTCACAGCTTCACAGCTGCAGACAGCTTTAATCGAAGCCATTTGTGGAGCGCGGAATTTTTGGGCCAAAACTCTTAGCCATTCCCTTATTCTGTCTCTCTCTCTCTGTCTCCCTCTGTGCGACCAGCTCTTTCCAGCATCTCGTCATATTTGATATTAATTAAAAAGTTTTCATTGTCGCGGGGCGCTTTAAACAAATTGTCAGAGCTGACGAACCAGCAAGGAATTCATAACTCTTTCTCGCCCTCTTCAGGCAGGCTGCCCCTCTCCTTCGACTGATGGAAAATCAAATACAATGACCAGTTCAGCATATGTGTAACAGTGTAAGTGTGTGTGTGTGTGTGGGCGTATCTGCAGCTGTCTTTAAACCAGCGACAACATGGACGACATCTGCTTATGTCACGTCCTGACAACCGAATAATTCAGTTTTTTTTGCTTGTTACAAACTATAAAAGGGGTATATTGGTTCTTTTGGCATTGCCACTTATCCATCATTCTAGCTTTAGTTGTTTTGCACAGAGTATTGGGAAGACTGTACGAATATCGTTTTGCTTGTGCTTTCTGTTTTATAATAAAAAAACAAAAATCAAATATGAACTTTGACAATGTGGCCCAGATTGTTGGATAAACGCAATCAATTCATTGAACCCTACAAAATACATATAATACCTACATACCTACAATTTCATTCACCTCTTATCGGAAAAATACAAAATCAATAGAATGGAAGCTATTTTATTTGTGGACTGTAAGAGAAAACCATGTGTGTGGATTGCATCAATGATTGAAGAGAGCCAATTGGAATGTTCTCTCGCAGAGCTGTTGATCCCGTTATATGAATGGTGTCGGCAGCTCGCGAAATGAGCATGGCGTTTGCTATTGGCTAATTCTGTTATATTTAGGAAATGTAACCTAAAGCGAGAAAGCTAGATTGTGGAATGAGTAAATGAGAGAGCCTGTAGATCCCGTTGTTGTAATGGTGCCCGCAGCTTATAAAGAGAGCATGGCGTGTGGATATTTTAATCGCTGCCTGCTATTGGCTGATTCTTCCAGAGCCATGCAAGTCTTTGATTCAGTAATATTTGTGAATGTCAAAAAAAAAAAAAAAAATGAAGCATAGAGAAAACGACGACCATTGATCCTGTTATTTCAATGATTCTGCAGCAAAAACACTAGCTTAAATTAGCATATCTAAAAAAAAAAATATTTAAGAATTATGTTGACACGCCGAAGAGTGCTTGAACTTTTCATCTCCGGCCTCACATGGATAAATGAGCACGCTTGTTTTACTTTAAAACAAATTCACATACGAAAACATTTCCGTTGGCGCATATGAAACTCCCAGTTTTACAGTTAATTTAGGGGCTGTCGCATAACTCATAAGGGGCCAATGGAAGGAGAGTGGGTGGGTATCTAGTCAAATCCTTGTCGCTAGATGCGTGCCTGTGACATTTTCAAATCAACGCACGGCGTACATGTCCTTTCGCTTTTTCATTTATTGGGCGCGCGTGGCTCGAGGCGTGAGTCCCAACAATATCAGCAACTTGAACTGCGCTCAACTTTGTGCACAATAAGCGGGCGCACTTGACTGAAAATGTAAGCGATAATCCTTCGGGGGGCTCCCTACCATAGCATGAAGGTAAAAAGCGCGCGTAATTGAACTCTGAGTGGAATGGCTGAGCGAGTGAGAGACGGAAGTGTGAGGTGAAGAAGGTCGGTGGGATACACGGAATATATGCGGCAACGTGTGACTGCATATTTATGTCAAAGTTGCGAACGATGCTCGAATGGCCAGGCAGACAGAGCCTTGCGCTATAGCGAAGGCAAGGCAATATCCTTCCTGTGTTTAATAAACTCCGCGACGAGCAGCCGCAGGAAGCAACGTTGGCTGCCACAAAAAGGCGGCCAAAAACTTTGTCGATATTTATCGAATTTCATAGCCGCCGGCTAAATGTTTGTCGGCTTGGCTTGTGCGCCTTGTGTTTGCATTTGCATTTGGCGGGTGTACAGGTGTGTGTGGGTGTGCTGGTTCTGGTATGTGTGTGTGTGTGTATGCGGCGTCTTGGGTTTGCCTTGGCAAAGGCTCAAGCGGAGAGCATAGAAGGAGCTCGAATGTTTCCTGGGCTGAGTTTATGGCATGTACTGAGGCATGTTTTAAGTGGTTTTACAGGACGCGCCTCATTGCGTCTTGCAATCAATTTCGCTCGTTACGTTACGTATACGCACCGTTTGCCAAATTGTTGCCACGCTCACACACACACACACACACACACACACACATATACAGGTGGGTGCTCGCATAAAAATTTATACATACTTTAACTAATATTTATCAACATGAAACAGAACGAGTTAGCATAGGGGCGTTCTGCATATTTAGTGCTTATTACGGCAAAATGATTGTTTTTTCCAATACTCAACAGACATTTACATGCACGAGCTACCACCGTGTGTGTGTGTTTATATATATATTAATATATATACGTATATGCATATATCGAGATATAGTAAACAGAAAACTGTTTTTATGGCAGGCGGCAATAAATTGTATTGCTATGCGTTCGACTTTTATTTACTTTGAATGAGCTGCTAAAGGGTTGCGAAAATTGTAGTTAAATTATTTAATACTTAATTGATATATTTATATGCATCAATATTGATTTCAATTTGCTTTATGAATTTTCTAGAATTTAAATTGTAAATATATTCGTGTTTATTGAACATTTGAGGTAACTATTGATAGACTTTTTCAAGGAAAATAAATAGGACATTCAAAGTCTTAAGCAAGTTATACCTAGAACTAACACTTAACAAGACAGTATCAAATAGTTAATTAGAAGCTAAAATTGTGCGTTTTAAGATTTCCAATTGAATTCGTAATCATGAGATATTTGCATTATAAATGTGGATTATTCTATATGGAGAATATCTATCAGGAATATTCTTATTCTAAGAGTATAGCATATTAAGCTATTTAAGTAAATATGTCCTCATATTAGCTAGAGAACTTTAACCAGTCTTTGCCCATTCAATGTAAGGCATCAGTGGTTTAGGCCTTGTTAGGAGCAGACTTTTGCTTAAGCGGATGATGGGCTGGCAGGCAGCTGGCAGACGCATTCGCATTATAATTTGTCGCATATACACACTCGCACACACACACCCACACCCACACCCACACACACACATACACGTGCAGACACAAAAGGTGTCAGAGGCCTTTTGTGCGGCTGTCTTCCGCCTGTCAATGACAACAGCCGAAAGTGTGCCAAAAAACCAGCCAAAGACTTTGTTAACTCCTGCTACAGCACCCCCTACCCACCTCAAGGCTCGTTGTAGCTGTCTGGCTAGGGTGCGGTAGGGTAGGTTAGGTTGGCGTCTGGGGTTGGTGTGGGAATTGTGTGAAAAATTCAAATCGGTTTTGCTGCTGGCAACTGAGAGAGTTCGGCTTGGCTCAGTTTGCCGGCTTGTCGCTTATGTCAGACATAATTTAAGCCCGGTTAGGCTTCTGGGCAACAATGCGGCCGAGACTCGCTCCGATTGCGGGGCCAGAAGCTAAGCACTGGTCTGACCCGTTGACCCTGACGGCCAATCGAGTGGCCAGACCCCAAAGACAGTTGTTACAAATGCCCCCAACTTGACTCGGCCGCCATTCACGGCCCACGGGCATTTACGAATGGTTCACACACTGTGCACAGTGTGACAAATACATAGCTTTAGGGCATAATCGGGCGCCCCATCTGTTAGTTGGCGTGTCACCTCATATGCTGCAGCTGGGGCAGCGGGGGCGTGTGCATAAATTGGGCAATTAAAGGTTTTATTGTGTGCCTGATCTACTTGTATTATTCGAGAGGGAGTTTGTTGGATTTTATATAGGAGATTTATTGGATTTTATCTAACTTTTATGGTATTTACAATTATTAATGTGAGCAGGTATTAACTATCATAAGCTTTATCAGAATATCTACTTCAATGCCATCAAATAACATACTAACTTCAATCGAATTCCGGAAATAAAAAGCATAACGATATAGTATTATTATACGATATTACGTATTAAGAATATATTAAGGCTTTCTAAACTTTCGAAAAGCAATGGGTAATCCCTTCTGGATCAGGTCGAGGAGTTGTGTTGGTTTATGTTTGCTTGTGTATCTAAATACCACACCTAATTTATATAATTATTATTTTCATAATACGCATATCGGATACTCTTCCATTATTCACTGCTGATTCAGATCAGCACTGACATTCTATAGTAAGTTAGCTATATATTCATTCTGTTATATTATAATATTATTAATATATTTGACAGAATTCCATACACAATCACTATAAATCAACATCAATATTTTTACCAGGGTATTTCGGATTCGTCAATCTACATATACCAAATTGATGGCTGTTGTCGCCAATATTCCTATAAATAACCTGTACCTGTTAATTTCGATGTAGTAATCAGCTGATATGAAGAACTTAACCATTCTACTGGCTATCGGATGTGTCTGGGCCTATGTGGGCTGTGCTCAGGCGGAGTGCTGTAGGGCTTCATTGACCTTGTCGTACACATTGAGGATTGGCACGTGTGCTTCTGTCGGTGGACGTCCCTCCTCAACTGGCTGCACAACTACCATTTGTGCCGAAGTTTCGAGGATCGTAATAGGCGTCATGGTGTCACAGTCTCGGGAGCAAGCTGGAACGCTTAATTTTAATCTTAATCTCTTGATAAATTTTTCAAATATAATAACTTGCATGAGTCAAGTAGGGTTTTGGATCGCAAGGGAACTTTTATTTCAAGTATATATTAAACTATAAACACTGGGATGAATCAAATATTTAAATATTTTAATACTTTAGTAAAGAACGATTTTTTTGTTTTTATTTTTTCTTGTTTTTTCTGTTTCTCAACTGCAATAAAGCAAAAAGTCCCTTTGCTCTTGGTTTCCGTTGATTTCTTAAGCAGAGCGGTTAACTGTTATTTGCGAGCTATGCTTTTAGCTATATTCCAGCTGTTTTTCAGCTGCTTTTCGATCTTTGGGCCAGGTCTCTAAGTGCAGCTTTCATGCAACTCCATTTGGCTCGCATTGCTTATAGAAATTAAAACAATTTGTTGCTTCAGCTGCAATTCAAGGCAATTGCATTGCGCTTTTTCCGGCAATTCATAAACATAAAGAGCATAATATTTCAGCCGGAATGTGTGCGTGTGTATGTGCACGTGTGTGCGTGTGTGAGTCAGTATGTAGAGTCGCTGCACTTATCCTTTCACTTCATGCGCATAATGAAGAGCACTTTACGTTTATGAAAGCGATGGCTAAAAAAAAAAAAACAAAAACAAAAACAAAAACCGGGCAGCAAAGTAAACAAACAAATAGAAACACTCGTAATAAAAAGAAATAAGAGATTCTTCACGATAGAAGAACGAAGTTGGAACACACTTGCGGAGAGTAGAGAGAAAATAGAGTATAAATATGGTAAACTTGACTGGTTAGCTAACTCTTTATAAACAGGTTGTTTTTGTGTCAGAGAATATATAGAGTAAGAGTAATTTGACTGGTTAGTTAACTCCATACAAACAGATTGTTTTTGAGTCCCAGAATTTAGTTATATACATCCTTAAACTTTCCTCCGAAATCAAAGGAATTTATAAGCCCCAGGTTCTAATATCGTTAATATTATTCGATTCACCAATGAAGGCTAGAGATTTCATTATATATTATATATATATTGATTCTTGCATCAGCATGAAATTTGCAGAACAGAATTGAGAATACAATATTTTTGGCATATCAAAAAACTGTCTATTGACCAAGTCAAGCTCAGGTTTAAGTCTTTGATTGTATATTATATAGTAAAATATCTGGAGTGATATATGACATCTGCAATATTCCGTGAGCAGAGTATGTGAAAAACCCCAACGAGTGCACGACGATTCCCATTTAAAGCGGGCTGAGCTGCATTTTGCATGCTTAAGACTGCACACGCACACCCCCACACGCACACTCTCACACACACTCAGCCACTCATACGCGTGTGTTTGAAATGACGCGTCATGCGTGCAAAGGACATAAGCAGTGACTGCAAAAACTGAAGGACCGCCCACAGTTCAGCAGGCTTCGCTGCTATTTGCACTCTGACGGCTGCTGCTCCAAATGAAATGCAAACAGGCAAGGACGAAGCTCTGGCTGTGCCTCTGCCACTGTCTATGCCCCTGCCTCGACCTCTGCCTATGCCTTCGCCTCCGTCTCTACCCCTGCAGCTGTCTCTGCCTCTGCATGTTGCCTTTCAATTGACGGCCACGCCTTTTGACGCGAATTTAGTTTTTAATTTCACTTTCGCCCTCTCAACCCTCTCTCCTTCTCGCTCCCTCTCTTTCATGCTGGCACTTCTTGTTGCTCATTTAATGCAAACGTACTTTGGCCACAAGGACACTCGGCATTTGGCTTGCAGGCTCTTCTTGCCTTGCTTCTTTTTTATTATTTCTGATGTGTTTATGTATTTACACCAACACATAAATCATACAGCTGTGTGAGTGTGTGCATAAGTGGCTTTAGCCAAGCGTGACGCCTCCAATCCCGTCGCACTGCCTGCTCCAAGTGAAACAGTAAACAGCTGCGAGATAAATTGCTCATCTGCTCGACCTCGACGCACGACGAGCCTGCCTCTCCCGTCGCCCTTTCCCCCCAAACCAGCGAGCATTGCTGCCCCGTCTCATTCGCCATTCGCTTGGTTTCTTAACCCAACTGTGGCTCTGTGTCAACGACGAGCT